TTTTTATTCGAACCTCACATCGTTGGAAAATTAAATTGAGGAAAAATTTCGAGTTGAGTCCTCGGAGACACGAATTAAAGTCTTGATTTGGGACTCTGAAATTTAACTGCGAGATTTTATGGATCTATTTAAATGGTGAGTTCAGGAAAAAAGTCGAGTCGAGTCCTCAGACTGGGGAATTGAAATTTTCAAACGTCTTGAGTCCTGATTTAAGACTTTAATGTCTCCGAAAATTTTCCATTCGCGAATTAAAATTCAATGGTACGCTGTAATATCTGTATTAAAGGAGAGTTATATCCGCGAATTTTTGCAATAAATTTTTAATTGAGAATGATGATAGGGGGAGTTATGCGGAGCGCGATCGATTAATTAATTTGTTAATGTTTGAGGGGCTCGTGTGATGAATTGTGATAAATACGTAATAGAGATTGGATGATATTAATCCGACGGTAATATCAAGAGTATGTAAACATATTGATAACTCGATAATACCCGGAGATAAACATTTTATTTAAAAAAAATATAGGAAATAATTAATGAAGGTTTATTTGTACTCGTACGCGCAAATGTTTTCCTAAAAGTGTATATTCTATTAAAAATCCAATCACGTTATGAAATTTTTTTTTAATTCTCTGAGAACTGACGGATTTGTTTGAGTTTTATCTGATTTTATTATTTTTCCGCAATGGGAAACTCAAAAGATTTAAAAGAAAAAAAACGAGAATTTTTGGTTCTGATGGGAAAATTGTGTTCATTTGGCGAAACTAATAAAACTGATTCTATTATTCCATAAAACTTATTACACTTTTTTCCCTCTTCCCATTCAACACTGGAATAAATTCATCCCTGCCGATGGAAGAGAGACCCTTTGACTTTCAGATAAGTCTCATCACCATAAAAATGGAGCACCAAAAAATCCTCATTTCAGAGTTGTTTATTCGACGAAATCACGTTACACGTGGAAAGAGAAAATGAAGTTCAAACGTGAGTCCTCTCTCATGAATCTCTGCATTTTAACGCCTAAAGTTTTTTCTGAAATTCAAGTGAAAACAGCTGGTGGAAAATTCTGGCGGAGACATTTTTTTTCTCTCGGTTAAATGGAAAAATTCAAATCACAAAGAATTTGCAATCTTTTTAAATGGCCAGTGAAATAGAAAATTTCATGACGTCCCTCCTCCAAATTGCGAGTCAGCAGTCCATGAAAATCCAATCTTTTCCAAGATTGAGACTGTGAATTTAAAATATCGCAAAAGCACACATGGCATTTTCTAAAAATTGTCAACAGGTCCGAAACGACTCCCCAAACATTTTCCAAGTCTCTAATACACCCCAAATCACTTGCATTTAATTTTTTATTCAACTCAAAAAATAATATCTAATGACCACCGAATTCGGCCATCAGTGCAAACAAAAAGCGAAATCCCGAGGAGAGTGCACTCCAAAGTGCGAGTAATTTCTCGTTTTCCTTTCTCCTCTCCCTTTTTTACCCTTCAAGTAAATTTCTCCTTTCGCCCCGTGGACATCCGCCTTTCAACCCACTTTGCAATTCACCCCCTCGTGGTGTCGTCTTGCTATTCCCGGGGCACCCTTCAAGGTGATATCGCCACTCTCATCGTTGCCCTGACTCAAGTCTGAATTTAAATTCTCCCCCCAACCGTAGAAATTGCGTCTACCGAGGGAATGCTCGTGGACAGGTCACCAGGAGTAACGGTGAAAGTGGCTTTGCAGATTAAAAAAGAAAATATACGGACAAGTATACTTGATTCAAGTATTCCAGTGCATTCCTTTCGAAGATCCTAGATTCTGGTGATCCTTCAAAAGTTTTTAAAACTCGAATTTCAATCCTTTCTTCAAATTTTATGTTGCAAAAGCTTTTTTAGTAAATATAATTGCATAATCATGATAATAATAATGTTTATTTATGCGTATTTAAACATTTCTCATTGGCAACACTTCATAGATTAAAGAGTTGGAAATTTTTGAGACTATGCGAAATGTTGAATGTAGATATCAAGAGTAAACAATTTTGTATTATTTAATTTATTCTTAGTAAATGGGAGAATCGTGAGAAAATCAATTTTCTATCGATATCAGATCGAGAATCGAATATGACGTAAATATTTGATTCCAGTGTATTTGTTGTTCTGTGCAGGAAGCTGGATGATAAAAGAAAAACAACAAGAAGACTATGAAAGAGCAAATTTGTTCGGTACAAAACGGTCAGAATGCCCTGTACTTTGGGATGGCAATATAAACGCTTGTGCAGGCATTTTCTCTGTAAAGGGAGATGGGCTATGGGCGGTGGGCGGTGGGTGGGCTGAAAAGGGGGAGGTCGCGAGAGTAGAAGGAGCGAGACTGTAAAAACGTCGGGGACATGACGATAAATGGTATTTTTCTGGTCGTTCCTTTGGATTTTTTTTCTCTCCTCAGCACGTATATAGTCTACGATAAATAAATGATTGCTGTAAACGGATACAGAAGTTAATTCCGGCTGTTGTCTTCTGTACTGCATGAAAAGGATAAAACGGAACATTCAATGGTGATGAGTTGTTTTTACGTTTTGCTTCGTATGAATTTTTACGATTTAACTGCAGCGACGTGAATTTTTACGGGTTTACGTTGCGACTTTGTTCGTTTCGTTTTTTAGGGAGGG